ACCATGAGGTGATCTCCTCCTGTTTCATTCTTTGCTTGTCCTCCTAAGAAACCAGAAGTGGAATTTCAGAACTGAAGACAGGTGTTAATCCTTCTTAGACTCCTGAACCAGTAGGATACTGAGAGATGCGTTGTTCCAGAGAGCTTCATTTTTCTCTTCCACCTCTTTTGACATACAGTCAGAGTCATAGGGTTGTACAGCATGAAAATAGACCCTTCAGTCCAACTCATCCATGCCAACCAGATACCCTAAATTAATCTCGTTCCATTTGCCAGCATTTGGCCCATATCTCTCTAAACTCTTCCTATTCATGTGCCTATTCAGATCCCTTTTAAATGTTGTAATAGTACCAGCCTCTACCACTTCTTCTGGCAGCTCATTCCATACACGCACTACTCTTTGCATGAAAAAGTGTCTCCTTAGGTTCCTTTTATATCTTTCCCCTCTCATCTTAAGCCTATGCCCTCTAGTTTTGGAACACCCTACTTGGAAAAAGACCTTGGCTATTCACCCAATCTATGCCTTTCATGATTTTATAAACCTCTATAAGGTCACACCTCAACCTCCGAAGCTCCAGGGAAAATAGCCTCAGCCTATTCAGCCTCTCCCTATATATAGCTCAAACACTCTAACCCTAGGAATATCCTGGTAAATCTGTTCTGTACCCTTTCAAGTTTAACAACATCTTTCCAATAGCAGGAAGACCAGAACTGAATGCAGTATTCCAAATGTGGCCTAACCACTGGCAGCAAATTATACTCCAACTCAATCTGCAACCACAGATCTTTGATTCTTCCATTATAGAGCTTCAACTCTGGTTCAATGGAGAGTGCATACCAGGAGCAGCACCATGCATACTTAAAAATGAGGTGCTGATCTGGTGAAGCTACAATACAGTTACTTGCATGCCAAGCAACATAAGCAGCAAGTGATGGACAGAGCCAAATGATTCCACAACCAAAAGATTGGATCTGACTCTGCAGTTCTGCCACATTGAGTTTCGAATTGTGTTGTACAATTAAGTAATTCACAGGAAATCTTCTCATCCGGAATTTCTTAACAAGCATGCTAATAATGGAAGGTACTTTCTCGGCATTCTGCATCTCCTGGATGTTGGACAGGGTGGAAATGGTAATCTTCAGCCTCTCCTGGTCTCTGACTCCATGTTCCAGCTTACACATGCATCTGTCTCCAATTTCTCTTCATGCTCAGTTGTTAAGAATTTCTCATTGTTCATCATTCCTCTTTGTACCATGTTCCACTCACTGATCCACAGTCACAAACAAAACCAGAAAGTCCTGGAGAAACTCAGCAGGAGATTCAGTTGAAATTGCAGTTCTGAAGATGGGTCACTGGACTCAAAACATTAACTCTGCTTTCTACTCTACAGATGTTGTAGAGCAACTGAAAGTGCTGGAGAAACTCAGCAGGTCTGGCAGCATCTGTCAGATTCCTCATCATTCCAACACTCAGGGCCCCGGGCCTGCTGCACAGGTGTGCCCTCGCTGTGATGATTCCCAAATCCCAGCTCTTCCTCTTTATTTCCAGAAGTGCTTCCACGCACTACTGAACGTTTCTTACCCGCACCAATAAACCACTCACGTTAACTTTCTCCTTTATCTTCCACCAGGAAACCACTTGTGTTTCTGATTTAATTACAAATTCACATGCAAAACCCATCAGGGCAGTGAGGGGGAGACGGAGGGCACTAAATCAAAGTGGAGTTGGAAGAGGAGATAAAGCACTGTAGCCCCTGCGATGGCCATCTCTCTCTCTCTCTGTGAAAACATTGAGAGCATTAGTGGACACTGCATGCCAGTTTTTTCATTTTACGTTAACCCATTCAGACATATCTGGAGCAAGGTGGGACCTGAACGTGGGCCTTGCTGGTTAGAAGCAGAGACACTACCACAAGAGCCACCCCCGAGAACCCAGCATTTTTTTAACATCCAGAAGTGCTCTTACATGTTAGGGGTGGCACAGTGGTTAGCACTGCTGCCTCACAGCGCTAGGGACCCGGGTTCGATTTCAGCCTCGGGTGACTGTCCGTGTGGAGTTTGCACATTCTCCCTGTGTCTGCGTGGGTTTCCTCCGGGTGCTCCGGTTTCCTCCCACAGTCCAAAGATTTGTAGGTTAGGTGGATTGGCCATGCTAAAATTGCCTGTAGTGTTCAGGGATGTGTAGATTAGGTGGTTTATAGGGGGATGGGTCTGGGTGGGATGCTCTGAGGTTCGGTGTGGACTTGTTGGGCCGAACGGCCTGTTTCCACACTGTAGGGATTCTATGTCCATTACTCACCAACAGGAAATCACTCATATTCCCAGTTGATTCATTTATGTGCAAAGCCTATTAAGGGAAATGTAAACTGTCAAAGGTGAGGGAAAGGGGAAGGGTAAGAACCTTTTCTCTCATCACCAAATCACATTGACTTTTATTTCTCCATCCATTAAACACCACTGTAAATCACTGTGGATAATTGAGAAGCTTGTTAAGGACAATGTTAGCCATCAACAGTTGAAGGAAAGGTAGGGAGAGCAGGAAGGGAATAAATCAAAATGAAATTGGAAGGAAAAATAAAGCATTCTACACACTATGGTGCTTATCTTTCTCTAAAGGCATCGAGGATATTAATGGACACCACATGTTCCATCTCCGAGGACACCCGGGCATGATTGTAGGAAACCCAGCTCTTTTGTCTCTTTCTTTTTCTATCCAGAAGTTTATCACTCACAACTGAATGGCTTTCCCATGACCAATTCACCATTCCTTTTTAAAACTATTAACCATCACAAGCAAATCACCAGTTAGCTAGTTAGACATCTACATGCAAAGCCCAGTACAAGTGATGCAAACCATCAAAGTGGGAGAGGGGTAGGGACAGCTGGAAGAGGCAAAGAACCCAGCTCTTGAACTCAAAGTCCAATTAGGATTACTTGCTCTCAGTCAACTCTGGAGTTATTCCGGTTTACTCTTAATGAGATCTACATTTCTTGTACTGACAGCACAGTTTAATGTTACTAACTCATGATCTGGAGGCTAATATTTTGGGAACTCAGATTCAAATCCTAACACAGCAGCATTCAATTAATAAATCTGGAATATGAATCTAGTCTCAGTAATGATGACAATGAAACTGTCATCGACTGACGTAAAACAAAAACCCATCTGGTTCACTAATATCATTTAGAGAAGAAAATCTGTCTCCTTGACTGGTTACCATGTGACTCCAGATCCACAGCAATATGATTGACTCTTAAATGCCTTTGTAATATCCTAGCAAGCCACCCAGTTCAGGGGCAATTAGGGATAGGCAACAGATTTTGATCTTACCAATGGCTTTCGTTGGTTCTTATTATTTGGAGAATCCTCAGTAACATTTTAAAAAATCTACTCCACACACAGTTGACATGCATCCATAACACAGCACAAGTATTTGCAACTAGAACATTCATTACTGGGCTGAAGCTTCTTGTGACCAGTACATGTCCTTCTGCCTGATCAGTATTGCCCTGTTCCCCTTCTGTGTTTTGCATCATTTTGAAAACCTTGTTATTCTGTTTCTGACAACACGTTGTATGTCGATATATTGAATCACATGTAAAGCACCAGTGGAGCATTCCCCAGGCATTCCTCCTTACTTGAAAATAAGACAAAGAACTGCAGATGCTGGAGATCTGAAAGAAAAACAGAAATTGCTGGCAAAACTCAGTAGATTTGGCAGCATCCGTGCGGAGAAAGCAGAGTTAACATTTCGAGTCCAGTGACTCTTCTGTTCTGCCAGACCTGCTGAGTTTCACCATTAATTTCTGTTTGCATTTCAATCTTATCTTGTTCTCCTCCACTTCCTGTCATAACCACCAAATGTGTCTCTAAACTTTCTCCAGCAATTTCTGTTAAAATGTCTCTATCCTAACTTCTTCCATATTGACACTTACTCTTTTATTTGGGAGTTCTCAAAATGCTGCTACAGTTGAATCCCTTTTGTGTATTGTTGCTCAATGTTCCTTTTGTGCCATGAAGACCACTGAAAATGTATGTTTTCCCAGGACTTCTTTTTTGTTCAGGCTTCCACATCTGTTCTAATTCATCAATTTAAAGGCAAGCACTAGCTTATGAATCTCCAAGTAGATTTTTTTTCAATACTACATGTAGTTCATTAAATTCTATTATATATTCTTTCAAAGAGTATCCATCTAGCTGCCTAAATTTATCAAAGTCTGACTACTCCTCATTTAATAGGTCATCCTTATAAATTTTGTCCATAATATTTAATAGAATTTCCAAGTACTACCTCAGTGTCCAATTGTTGAGCATCTAGCTCTGAGAATACTTTACATCTAATTTTTCTTCTGATAGAAAAAGACAGTGTCATGGTTGTAGCTTGCTTCCTTTTCAGTAACAACATAACACGTGCCCAAATATATACTTCCCTTTTCCAATGATTGTATGGTTCAGCTTCACAAACATTGCACTTGATTACAGCTATTTTTTCCCCAAAGTAACTCCAAACTTCTGTCTCTACCTTTAGGCAATCATCCTCTGTTACCACTGTAAATAAATTCCAAACCATTTGGTGAGATTAATATCCTTCTTCAGAAATGGGAGAGGGGAAGGGGGAAGGGAAATAAATTTATTTCAGAGCCCCCTTCCCCTCCCCCATTTCTGAAGAAGGGTCCAGACCCAAAATGTCAGCTTTCCTGCTCCTCTGATGCTGCCTGGCCTGCTGTGTTCCTCCAGCTTCACACCTTGTTATCTCAGACTTCAGCATCGGCAGTTCCTACTATCTCCTACGGAGGTATATTTCAAAGCATTGCACCAAATGGAATGGTATACAAGGAGGCTTTATCCCATGGTATTGTACTCAGGACACTGTACCCCAAGAAACCATATCCCAGCCAGTTATGGCACTTTCAGCAACATAGTGATCAAGTAAAGTAAAACTGCTATGAAGAAACATTGAGATTTAGCTGTTGGATGTAGAGTTCCTCATAGTTACTTACTGCATATTTTGTCTGTACAGTGTCCCAGTAATACCCACTGTTGTTCGAAGCCGCTTAATTTTCTTATTTTTTTTGATATGTTGCAGAATAACAGCTAGAGTGGCTGAACAGAGAGTGGCTGAACGAAGTGAGACGATTTTGCAAATTTGCTTAACAGCGACGCCATCTTCTTCAGAAGGCTCCAGTTCCAGATTCTTTAGCATCTCCATTGCACTTTCCAGACCTGTATTGTAACTGAAGGAATTGACACAGAAATAATGAAATATTAGTATTGATTATGCGGAAATAGTGACTATGACATGGATTCCTCACAAGCATGCTAGCAGCTCCCCAAATACCTTACCTTTCATTTCCAAATGACATGACTGCAACAGTCTTCACTTAGCTCATCATCTCCATTCTTTTGTTGAATGCCACAGTGAAAATGACAGGGCATTAGAGTAACACAGTACAGACAGCCCACAGACAGACAAATGACAATTTATTCCCACCACACATCACACTTTCACCTATTAGGTTATAAAGTTCAGTTCATAGGTGGATAATTAGCTGTGAACAAAAATCTGGCAGACGAAGTATAATAATGAGAAAATGTGAAGTTCCTCACTTTGGTAGGAAGAAGACAAAACACAGAGTATTACTTAAATGATTATCACAAGTGCACAATTCCAAGGTGCATAGTGAACTCTATGTTCAAATCCATGAGCAACAAGAAGTTAGTATGCCATACAGTGTATAATTAAACAGACTAAAGGGATGTTTTCCTTTATCGTGAAACAAATTAAACATAAAAGTAAGGAAGTTATGTTTCATTTTACAGGCATTGGTGAGACCGCATCTCAAATACTATGTGCAGTTTGGTCCCTTTATTTAAAGAAGGAGGTAAATGTGATGGAGGTGGGTTAGAGCAGTTTACTGGATTGATACCATCAATGAGCGGGTTGTCTTATTAGGATAGGCTGGACAGGCTGGGCTTGTCTCCACTGAAGTTTAGAAGAGTGAAGGGTGATTTATTTGAAGTGTACAAGATCCTGAACGGTCTTGATAAGGCGAATGTGGAGAGATGAGGTGAGTCCAGAATTAGGGGCCACTGTTTTAAAATAGGTACCAACCATTTTAGGCCAGAGATGATAGATACTTTCTCTCAGAGGGTTGTGTGACTTTGAAACTCTCTGCCTCAGAAGGCATTGGCGGTGAGAGCATTAAATATTTCTAAGACAGACACAGATTTCTGTTTTTGTTTCTTATTTAACTGTGCCACTGGCCAAAAAAAGATCAGGGTGGAAATATAATCTCTGTTTTACTGTGGGAGAGTGTGAAGTCTACTTTTTTTCATTTTATCAGCTTTCTGCTGTCAAGGTTCTAATTGCTGCTGGGGTATATTGCATTGCCAATCCATTATATTGTAGTGACGGCAGAGTTTGGTATACTGCACAGCCTAACCTGAACATCCAATAGCTGGCTTTTACAATGGGACATTGGATCAGCACAGGAACAGAATGACAGGTGCATTCAGGTTTTCAAAGGAGCACAAAGGATGTAAGAGTCTGAGAATGACCAATAAACCCACTAAAGCCAAGGAGGTGTTCAGGTTTTCAAAGGAGCACAAAGGATGTAAGAGTCTGAGAATGACCAATAAACCCACTAAAGCCAAGGAGGTGTATTTGAATCAAACTCTAGGTTATCATTCAGCCATTGGGTATGAACACTGGGTGACAGCAATTTAGGGGAGTCCCTGCTGACAGTGGCTGCAGGGAAAGGACAGTAATAATTGTTCCTGGACAATGAGGACAGCCTGGTAGAAATGGCTGGAGGAACTCGGCAGGTCTGGCAGCATCTGTCGTGAGGGAAACGGAATTAACGTTTCAAGTCCAGTGACTGACTCTTCTCCAGAACTTAGGAAACAGACATCACAAGTATTTCACACTTTTGTATAAATACAAGATAGATGCTGAATTAAAATCAGAAAATGTGGGAAATATTCAGCCGGTCTGTGGAGAGAGAAATGATTCACGTGTCACATTGATTATCTTTCATCAGAGAAGTTCGAAATGTAATAATTTTGGCAGGGAAATTGAGAGGGGTTTATCATGGAAGGACGCAGTGGTGGGATGGGATTGAATGGATGAAAAGTCATTTTCTGTCTTTAGTGCAAAAAATGTTGTTGGACAGCAGACAGAGTGAGATTCCTCCTGTCTGGGCACTAAACTAACTCTGCTGCCCTGATAACTTCAAGCTATGACCTTTGAATTGTAACTAGGCCATGACTGCTTTTAACAGGAGCTTGAACCACATCATGTATTGCCTTCATTATTAAATATCACGATGACCAGGAAATGTGCAGGCTAGGTGGATTGGCCATGCTAAATTACCCATAGTGTTCAGGGATGTGTAGATTAGGTGGGTTATAGGGGGCTAGGGTGGGATTCTCTGAGGTTCAGTGTGGACTTGTTGGGCCGAAGGGCCTGTTTCCACACTGTAGGGATTCTATGATCTATGATCTTCTATTGTTATAACATTTGATTCAGAAGTATCTAAGGCTAGTACAGAAAAAACTCAGAATGGACCATCTGGCATTGACCGAGGTATTGGAAACAATAATGGCAAGTAAAGCTCTCTTGGCCCTGCAAAGTCTTCCTTTCTGATGTCTGGAAGACCTTGACAAATTTGGGAGTCTAACCCAAAGAATAAACAAGCATCAGTCTGACATTGTCATTTCCACAGATTCATACCTTATAACCAATGCCCCAGATACCACGATCATCAGCCCTGAGAATATAATGGTTCCACCATCACTACTACAGGTAGTGTCACAGAGGCATATACTCAGAAGGGAGTTACTTTGGGAATTACCAACTTTGATTTTGGATCACATGAGGTGTCATGGTATCAGGATAAACATGAGCAAGGAAACCTCCTGCACATTACCATATAGTCGCAATAGACAGAACTAGGAGGTCCCACAATCCACAGATTAGTTTTCAACTCTGCAGTCCTCCTGCTTCCAGTCACGAATGATGGTGGGTAATTAAACAACTAACAAGAGGAGGAGACTTTACAAATCATACTCATCCTCAACCTGTCCTCTGTATGGTCCCCTCCCCCTGCACTGTCCCTTCCCTCTGCACTAACTCTCCCCCACACTGACCCCTCTCCCCCAACACTGTCCCCTCTCCCACGCACTGACCCCTCACCCCCCACACTGTCCCCTCTCCCCTGCACTGTCCCTTGCCTTGCACAGACCCCATCCCGGCACTGACCTCTCCCCTGCACTGACCTTTCTCCCCTGCACTGATCACTCTCCTCCACGCTGACCCCTTCCCCACACTGTCCCCTCTGACCCGCACTGTCCCATCCCTACCACTGTACTGTCTCTGTCTCTCCCTCATTCTGCCCTCTCCCTCACTGTCCCATCTTACTTGCTGTGCTTTTCCCCCACTGTTCTCAATCCCTCATCTGTCCCCCAACACTCTTTATGTCCTGTTTCCCTCCCCATCCCCTCTCCCTCCCTGTCCCCTCTCTCTCGCTGTCCTATCTCCCTCACCGTCCTCCCTCACTAGCCAATCTCCCTCACTGTTCCCTCTCCAGCAATATGCCAGTTTGATTGCTGTTTGATCTCGACCCCAGTTCAATCCTGAGTACTGTGTTATCTCGACTATTGTAAATAAAACAACAGACCAAATTAACAAGATTAGAATTGATAACCCCTAAAGGATACTGTAAAATATCGAATCACAGAGAAAATTGAAATCTTATTTTAGGAGGGTTGCTGATGATATCAGAAGCCCTGAATGTTGTGGTAGACACTGCAAGTTCCCTTCCCAAGTACATTCATACACAATTGTAACCATGGAAGAGAAGTATGCAGTTGCATATAACCTTATTTGAAGTCTGTGCTTACTTCTGTATAGCAATAATGTCTTCAATATTAATAGATCCTTTGGTGAGGAGTTTGGATGAAGTCTTTCCTTTGAACAGCATGCCATTTCGAACTATTCGGACCAGAATGATCCGCACAAGTTCTCCCATATACATTGCAGAAGCCATTTTCTCAAACCTGAAAGACCACAAGGAAAGGTAATTTCAGTTGGTTTCATAAAAATAAACTCTTTGAACATTTTGTCTCTTCCCGTTTTTGCGCAAAGCCTAATGGTTTCCAGTAGATCAATGGGTGTCAGTATATCAGTTAGCATCAGTGAGCCAATGGGTGTCAGTGGATTAATGGGGTATCAGTGTGCTAATGTTTTCCAGTAGATCAATAGATGTCAATCAGCCAATGGGTGTCATTAGTCCAACTTTGCTTGAGTCTTTGCTGAAGAGTCATTCTTCAAATGTAAGTCAAGGGAGTGAATGTTAGCTGTCCATACAATGCTTTAGAGTCAAGATGAGCCACTCTGGGCTCAATCTATACACATCCCATCAAAGTGCAGCCAAAGAGTAGTGTCAGGAACTTCATTTTCTCATTTTGAGGTATTGAGGATTCATAAGGATCAGGAATGGAACGTTAAAGAAAGGCCATAGTAATATCATGGAGCAACATTAGAAGTTAGGAAAGTGGCAACTTTAAGGAAGATGAGTTAAAGGAAGGTTCAATGTCAACTCACAAATGTTTCCCTGGATTGATGGAGCCATCATCCACTTCCCTGTCAAATACAGTCCTGATATCTTCCAATGAGCCATCATCTCCAAATCCTCCCCATTCTGTGTTGATGCACATCCTTCCTTCATCACCTTCCACTAGTTGGATGTGTCTCAATTCCTCCATGTAACAAGCATTTGTGCCAGTTCCTGTAGATGGCAGGTTGATGATTAAACAGCTGGATTTTGTGTGAAAGGAAATGTTTAAAAACCAAATTGTGAGTGCAAATTTCTTATTACCAATGACAACGCCAACCTCACAGTACGGGTCATCAAATGCACACGTCATCATGGTTCCCACGGTATCATTCACTAAAGCCAACACATCCACTTCGTAATCCTAATAAAACAACATCATCTTCAGCAAATTGATACAACTGTGTGGGATTCCACTTTCCACAACAACTTTATTATTACATCATAAGAAATAGCAGCAGGAATTTGCGAAAATTACGTTAATTTTAGTGATAGCTGTAGAACACTAAGTACCTTCTCCATTCAGTAATAGACTAACCCATCAAAACTATTCAGAGAAGGCAGAGTATGATACTAGATACAGAGTAAAGCTCTCTCCACACCATTGCCATTAGACACTCTCGGGACAACTAGAACAAAGGATAAGGCAGAGAGTGAATCTCCCTCTTCTTTGCTTGACCAAACACTCCGACGACAAGTAGAATATGAGGTGAGACGCAGAATAAAGTTTGCATACATTGTTCTAATCATATACTCCCAGCACAAGTACAGCATGGGGTTAGATATGAAATTAGCACGGTCTACACTGTTCCATCAAAAAACACAGAGCAAATTTAGGCACAGACTAAAACTCCATCTACAGTGTCCCTTGGTAATAAAAGGGGTTAGATACAGAATAAAAGGCCCAATGATCGCTTCCCATCAAACACCCCATGGAAAAGGTGCAAAAGATTAGATGGAACTTAGAACCACAGTAAAGTTACAGCCCAGAAAGAGGCCATTCAGCCCATTGTACCAGTGCCAGCTGATTAAACTAGCTGCCCATTCTAATCACACTTAACAGCATCTGGTCCACAGCCTTGCAGAGATTCAGAAGCATGTCCAGGTTCCTTTTAAGTGAGTTGTAGGTTTTGCCTCAACCACCAAACTGGGCAGTAAATTCCAGACACCCACTACCCTCTGGGTGAAAATACTCTTCCTCTTGACTGATCCTTCTACCTCTATCCAAGCCTCTCATTATTTTGTATACCTCAATTAAAGTCACACCTCAGCTTTCCCTGATTGCCAAGAAACATCACTAGCCTGGCCAATCTTTCCTCAGAGTTACAAATTTGAAGATCTATCAACATTTTTGTGGATTGCCTCTGTACCCTCTCTACATCAATGATGTCCTTTCTGTGATGTAGTGACCAGAATTGTACAAAAAATTCCAACTGTAGCCTAAAGCATTACATTCTTGCTGTTGTTTTCAAGGCCTCACCTATTGAAGGAAAGCATCTTATATCCCTTCTTTACTAACTTCACTATCTGTACTACCACTTTCAGGGACATATGAATATACATTTCAAGAGTCTCTCACTTTCTCCATCTCTCTTTTGCCCTCCCATTTATTGTGCACTCCCTGACTTTATTCAACATAGAGTTTTTGTAGTACAAAAAAAAGTCTTTTGGCTTATCACATACTCAGCAGTGGACTGTGGACCACAATGGGAAAAACAAGTGACATGACACTCATTGTAAGTATTGTTTAGACAGTTGGTCCAAGCAATAGAAGAAGCCTAGTTACAAACTGGAACCAGAGGGTTGGACATGAAGGGAGATTTGGCCAGCAACAATTAGCTGATTGATTTGTCTAATCTGGTGATCAGTTATTGATGACTAACATCTCCTGCCTGCCAAGAAATGTGATTGCTTGTCAGGTACTTGAACAGTTTTTGCACATGAGCATTTGGGGCAGAAACCATTGGACCTCAGGAGTGAAGGAGCCTTTTCTTTCTGCATTAAAAAAAACTCAGGCCTGAAGGTAGCCAGTTCTCTTCCCTTATCAATAATTCAGAGACTTTTATAAGTGTGAAGCAGTGGTAGTGTCCTTAACCCCTGTACTGGGAGGCCCAAGTTCAAGTCCCACCTGATCCAGAGGTGTGTAACATCTCTGAACAGGCTAGTCAGAAAATCAGTTTAAACAAAAGAAGAGAAGTGTAAACTAGTCAATCTGTGCTTCCTGCAAACATGTGAAAGTACTTAAGAAGGATGATCAAGAAGCAAGATTCTAATCAGCAAAAGGATGGTCTCAAAATCTCTGTGGAGAGGGATCACTGAACTGACTACTTTGCCAGTTCTCCCCTCCACTGATAACCCCCATGTTATTTTGTCTGCATGCCTGTACGTGCATGTGTAAATGAGGAGTTTATAAGTGGGTTAGAGTTTTAAGTAGTAGGTTTTAACATGGTTTACAATTGTTCATTTGTAGTTCGAATATATTTCTTCTGTGATAAATAGCAATTCTCATTAAGTACCAACACCTAGTACATACTTTCTGTCAACCTGTTAAAGGTAGTTGATTGGGGAATTCTGCATGCTTTGTAAAATTGTTCACTTTTGGGTTGACTCCAGCAATAGCCAGGTTTGATTTGCAGCACACTACCCCAGTGAAGTGCAACAGCTTTGTATTGGTCTTCACTCTTTAAGATGATACTTGACTGTCTGAAATTAATATTGATAGCAATAAAACTGCCAATATTAATGCTGTTGAACATGTTAATTTGGGTAGGATTGGGAGGCGTAATAATAGCTAGATCTGTGATCCACAAGATATCCACTTAGAGACTTTGGGGAGATGGAATAGATACTTGGGATACCTTTGCATATATCATTAAAACTCTCTACACTTTTGTTTCTATAGCCTGGAAAGACAAGAGTGAGAACTGCAGCAAACTGACAATGGCATCAAGGTACAGGAAACCACTTAAGTTGACGGGGAGGAAATAAAAAGGTAGTAGTGGTAGGGGACAATACAATTAGGAGGATAAATACTGATCCATGCAATTATGAGCATGTTCTGAAGGCTGTGTTATCTACCCAGTGCTGAGGTCTGGGATATCTCCTCAAGCCTGGAGACGAACTTGCAGTGGGAAGGGAAGGATCTAGTTATTAGCGTACATGTTGGTAGCAATGACATTGATAGGACTGGAAAGGAGCTTCTGCTGAAAGACTTTGAACAGTTAGGAGCTAAATCAAAATGCAGAACTGATAAGTTAATAATCTGTTGATGACTACCTGAGTCATGGGCAGAAGTTCGATGTTGGCTATGGATTTCAATTCATGGGGCACTGGCACTAGCATTTCAGTACATTCAAGGCTTTTTATTCTTCACACCAAAGTGGGCATCGTCACATTTCCCCACATTATACTCCACCTGCCAAGTTTTTGCCCAACTATCCAAGCCATTGGTAGAGATTTTATGTAAATGGGGCCCATGCACTATCCCGTGGCACTTCACAGGTTACAAAATGTTAACCTGAAACAGGCCCATCTATCCCAACGCCCTGAGTTATATTCATTAGCCTTTCCTCTCTCCATGCTAATATATCAACCCTAACACCATGAGCATTTAGTGTAGTAACCTTTTATGTGGCACCTTATCAAATCCCTTTTGGAAGTTACACCTACTGCTTCCTTTTTATCCATTCTGCAAGTTGACCCTCAAAGATCTCTAATAATCAAACCAAATTTCTACTTTCATAAAACCATGCTAGTCTGCCTGACTGATGAAAAATACAAACAATCTGTTGGAACATAGAACATAGAACGTAGAACAGTACAGCACAGTACAGGCCCTTCGACCCACAATGTTGTGCCAACCTATTATCCTACTCTAAAATCAAACTACCCTGTGTACCCTTCATTATACTATCATCGATGTACCTATCCAACAGTTGCTTGAATGTCCCTAATGTATCCGACTCCACTACCACCACCGGCAGCGCATTCCACGCACCCACTACTCTCTGTGTAAAGAACCTACCTCTGACATCTCCCCTATACCTTGCTCCAATCACCTTAAAATTATGCCCCCTTGTAATAGTCATTTCTGCCCTGGGAAAAAGTCTCTGGCTATCCAGTCTATCTATGCCTCTCATCATCTTGTAGACGTCTAGCAAGTCACCTCTCATACTTCTTCGTTCCAATGAGAAAAGCCCTACCTCCCTCAACCTTTCCTCATAAGACCTGCCCTCCAGTCCAGGCAGCATCCTGGTAAATCTCCTCTGCACCGTCTCTAAAGCTTCCACATCCTTCCTATAATGAGGCGACCAGAACTGAACACAATATTCCAAGTGTGGTCTAACCAGAGTTTTATACAGCTGCCGCATAACCTCACGGCTCTTAAACTCAATTCCCCTGCCAATGAAAGCCAACGCACCATATGTCTCCTTTATAACCCTATCAACTTGGGTAGCAACTTTGAGGGATCTTTGGACGTGGACCCTGTGATCCCTCTGTTCCTCCACACTGTCAAGAATCCTGCCATTAACCCTGTATTCTGCATTCAAATTCGACCTTCCAAAATGAATCACTTCACACTTTTCTGGGTTGAATTCCATCTGCCACTTCTTTGCCCAGCTCTACATTTTGTCAATGTCCCATTGCAGCCTACAATGGACTTTCACACTATCCACAACTCCACCAACCTTTGTGCCATTGGCAAACTTACTAACCCACCCTTCCACTTCTTCATCCAAATCATTTATAAAGATCACAAAGAGCAGAGGTCCCAGAACAGATCCCTACGGAACACCACTGGTCACTGAGCTACAAGCTGAATACTTTCCATCTACTACCACCCTCTGTCTTCTATTGGACAGCCAATTCTGTATCAAGGCAGCCAAATTTCCCTGAATCCCATGCCTTACTTTCTGAATGAGCCTACCATGGGGAATTTTATCAAATGCCTTGCTAAAATCCATATACCACATCTACTGCTCGATCTTCATCAGTTTGTTTTGTCACATCCTCAAAGAATTCAGTAAGGCTTGTGAAGCATGACCTGTCCCTCACAAAGCCATGCTGACTATTTCTAATCAAACTATGTTTTTCCAAATAACCATAAATACTATCTCTCAGAATCCTCTCCAATAATTTGCCCAACACAGTAGTAAGACTGACTGGTCTGTAATTCCCAGGATTATCCCTATTTTCTTTCTTGAACAATAGAATAACATTTTCCACCCTCCAAGCATCTGGTACTACTCCAGTGAAAAGTGAGGACACAAAGATCATTGGCAAAGGCACAGCAAGCTCTTCCCTCATTTCCCATAGTAACCTTGGGTATATCCTGTCTGGCCCATACCCGCATGGGCCCAAGCT